AAAAAAAAAAAACTGTTGCAGCTTTAATTCTAGCAAGGAAATTTGAGAAATATCTAATATGTCAGAGGCTGTGATTCATTGTTTGGGAAATATTTTGAATATTTGGCCAATCAAGTACAAAAAATTCTTGAATTCTTTGCTAAATCGGGAAAGCTATAACTGCAAAAGCTTGGGGTATTGTTTTACTCCTGCATGGTCAATCAAATTTTCAATTGAGGTAAGAGAAATTTGAATTAATTGCCCAAATAGAAATAGGTAATAAATAGCTAGACAAAATTTGGNNNNTAATAAATAGCTAGACAAAATTTGGAACTTTCTAGACTATATCAATAAACCAAGAACAAAACCAACAGTATGCTGGCTGGATGAACCACCATAAACACTGGGTGAATGGACCATCACTCTGCTCGCCGGATATACCGTTGAAATTGTTGTTCAAAAATTCAATAAAATAGGTTTTGGAATGAGAGAAGGTTTTGGAGGCCAAAACTTGGAGGCATGCGATCACATGCTGGCTTGCAGGGATTACACAAACAACCTTTGTGATCGCATAAGTTTGTTCTCTGCAGCCGCATAGAACTAAAAAATAGCCGTTATGCTGGTTTTTTAGTTTGAATTTTTTGTGATTTTTTGTAAAAAGTTAGCAACTTTTCGTGGATTTTCTTAGCCATTTTGTGGGTGTTGATTGAGACCTATATATAGATGTCTCATGATCAATACAAAATATATTGAAAACAATATTTAAACCAATTGAAATCATATTTCATTCCAAAATAGAAAAAATCAAAAATTCTTTTCATTCATATTCAAAATTTCTCCTTGTGTTCTTGAAGTTTTGGTTATGTGTTCAAGTGTTTTTCTATTATAAAGTTTGATAAATCCTACAAATCATTTGCCAAAAACTCTTTAAGCACCAAATTCAATCGGAGAGTAGGCAAATATCGTTTGAGAATATCGATTACGTGTTTGAGCCTTTTTTTATTCTTCTTTGCAAGTTCTTGATAATTTGTTTTTTGTTTCTTCTCCATTCCTCTTTGTGCAAACATTATTTTCCAACATAAACAACCAAGAACAATCCATCAACCTGGTTCTGGAACAACACTGACCAATGCAGTGAAGTGGCCGAAACTCACCTGAATCTGTACCCCAAGTCGACACAGCTCCAAGGTTTGAAGCTGAAGTCGAATCTCATCCAGGAGAAACCCAAGAATCTGGGCAAAACTATGCACGAAAGCAATACACTTCACTGGTATAAAATCATGTTTTGTATCAATTGAAATATAAATTTTAATCTAAATTAAAGTTAACAATTAATTTTAATAACATATTTCATGAAATCCATAACTATTTAATTTTTATCAAAATTTACTAAAAATTTGATTTTAATCTCCATCAAATAGAGGCAAAATAACNAACATATTTTATGGAATCCATAACTATTTAATTTTTATCAAAATTTACTAAATATTAGATTTTAATCTCCATAAAAAATGGGCAAAATCACAATTTAATTTTTCTCTTTTTATCTCGCATTTTTATAAAATCTTAACTCTCCATCAAATAAAGACGAAATATTACATTTTTAATATCATTTCGAAATATTCACGGTCTAGTTTTTTACATCGTTAATGACGTACGAAAACAATCAATCATAGCAAATGCTAAAACTTGTCAAAATAAGCTGTTCAAAATTAGTATTTCGAAAATTTCGATAATATGCTAGCTTTAAAAAATTTTCAATGATCATACGCTAATCGAATTTACAAATTGCTTATATCATTTCAAAGCTTATTTCGAGAACTACATTATAGGCATATCAAATAATTCAAACATATATCGAAAATAATTAAAAATGTGTTAAACGTGAGTTTTAAAGAAAGACGTTTAACTCGCATTTTCTTAAAAAAATTCAATTATTTCATTAACATTTATTATTTTTACAATACAAATTTCTCAATGTAATTTTTATCCTTTTATTAGGAAATTTCATATGGAATATGACATAAAATTTTTTCGAAATTTTACATCTGAAAAAGTCATATCTCATGTAAATTTTCGGATACAAAATTACATGAAATATGACTTTTTTGGACGTAAATTTTCGATTGTAAAATTTCTCCCAACTTCTTTGCAAGTTCGATTGTGCTCCCCTAACTTTACAGCTCTGCGTCTGCCCCTGCTGTCACACATACCCCCCCCC